AATCAAAGAGCACTCGGCGCGAGGCGCGAAAATACATGGCTCAAGCCGGCAATACGCCATGTTGGCCAAGATGGCGACCAGTCGAAATGGGTGCGCGTCATGAGACGCCGGCAACAAGTTAATAACAATAACAACAACAGCAACAACAACAACGGCACGCATAGGGCTATTAAATATAATGCGAATGCCAGGTAGCTCGCTCCCGTAACCGCAACCCATCATTTGTTGCCACACGAAACGCGTTAATTACGGGGCCGTTGGACATTGCAATTTTATTTCCCTTATTTCTGTTGTGTGTGTTGTTGTTTTTATTTTTATTTTTTTTTTCGCTCGCACATTCATTAATTATTATGCAAGCTAAGCGCTGGGCAAAACTTTTGGTTGGCTCTCAGTCCCAAGTTGGCTCTCTCTATCTCTATCTCTCTCTCTCTCTCTCTCTCTTGCCCACCCTCTCTTTCTTTCCCTCTCTCTCTCTCTCTCTCACACACACTTTGGCATGCAAACGCAAAGTGTCAAATTAATTTTTAATAGCCCGGCCACACCCACCAGCTCCTCGAGTCCCGACCAAATAATAGATTTAAACGAGGCGCACAGCAACTTTTTAGGTGGGCGTCCGTCCATGCATTGTAATTAAAGTTTTTGACTTTAGTTTTGGGGGCCAGTGGAGCTGCGGACTGGCCTTCAAATAATACGCACAAAGGCGCTGCCCAGCTATGGCAGCAACAGCAACAGCAGCAGCAGCAGCTAGGCGTCTGTGCGGGTGTTGTCCTTGTCATTCTCATGTTTGCCATAATTGCGCAATGTGTTGAAGGCATTTAATATGGCAGCAGCAAGAGGTCCAGCTATTTGTGTGAGTGTGTGTGTGTGTGTATTGACATGTGACACTTGCAAATTAGATGCCGGCAGGCGAACAATGTTGCCTATGATGTTGCATGCCATTGTTGCATACATGTGCAAATGCAGATGCTTAACACACAAATGTGTCCGTGTGGTGTGTCTGTGTGTGTGTGTGTGTGTGTGTTGCACAACTTATTGACACCTTATTTGCGCTCACAAAACGCACAACTCGTTTTGCGGTTTGCACATGCAATTTACATGTGTAATTTTTCGGCCATGCAAAAGTTGCAGCTGCTAACCGCAGTGGCAGCATCAGCAGTAGTCGCAACAGCAGCAGCGCAACGGCAGTTACATCATTGTCAGCAGCAGGACTAGCCAGGATGACAGAGGACAACTTCGTTAAACGAACTGCAGCATTTGTGCAACTTGTCAGCTGGTCGCTCCATGCAATGTTGCCCAGCAAAATTTGAATAGCGCGCGTTTGTTGCGGCCATTTGTATGGACTCTAGTGGTTTGCTGCTGCCGGACATAATCGATTTACAGTGTTGGCCAGGCCCGACTACGCATTTCACCAGCATGCAGCCCATGCCATCCACAAAAAAAATTCAAGCCAAAAAAAGGCAAAAAAAAAGCCTGGAAACTGAGTAGTGTATTGCAAAAGGGGTGACACTGCCTGGGCCAGAGGGGAAGCGGTGGACCTGTTTACGGCTCCAATGAATTATAATTAATGATTGCGGCCTGGGCGGCGGCTTAGCTTTTAAAATTTATAGCCGGACCAGTCCGACCGACTGCTGGAGCATAATAAATTTAAATTAGCACTAGGCAAATAAAATACGCACAATAAATAACTGTCCAAGGTCAACAGTTTTTGGGGCAGCTACTGCGACGGGTCAAAGGGTATGGCCATTTGATATGAATTTAACATTTTATTGCTCATTATTATGATATATATTTCTGCATAACCAGGTCAGGCACGGTACGCTGCTCATTTTGGAGTTTTCCATTTCTCCGCTCTTTTTTTCTTTCTCTTTTCTCCATTTTTTTTTTTTACTTCCACATTTTGCTTAAAGAGCCGCTCAAAGCAATGCAACTTGCATCATTAACATATTCACAGTCTATTAATTTTCAGCACACGCACACACACACACACACACACACACACACACTCAAGTCTCGAGTCGCTTAAGTCTCGCTGTCGACTGGCTGCCCGTTCAGCCTTTGGCAACATAATTAGAAACTTTTGCACTTAAATGCAAGCTGAGTGCATGCGGCCAGTCGAATGAATGCATTAAGCCAAAGTACAAGCCAAGTACGCGTTAGCAATGTGCCATAATAACTACAACTATATGAGCTGGAACCCACCACGCACTCGCCTCCCCTCTCTTTTATGAGGCGGTCTTAGTGCTATGCTTATAATGTTAAGTACTAGCTAGTTACATGAAAGTCATAACATGAGCAAGATTTTTCTACATTAAGCTGCAGTGCTAACAAGTCCTTACATATATTGGGGGTATCTTAAAAAAAGTACCTTAAAGAATTCGACAACTACATTACTTTCATTACTGCTCTAGATCATGATTTAAGCTTAAATTTATATGCATATTGTTCGTCATTGTCATTGTCATTGTCATTGTCATTGTCGTTGTCGTTGTCATTGTCATTG